CTCTCTCTCTCTCTCTCTCTCTCTGTGTGTGTGTGTGTGTGTGTGTGTGTGTGTGTGTGTGTGTGTGTGTGTGTGTGTGTGTGTGTGTGTGTGCTTGTTGTAAACAATCACCACAGCATCCCCTTTTTCCACCCAAATGCATAAATATTTGATTCGGTACCATAATTGGAACACTCTTGCCATGAGGAGGAGGAGGGGATTGCAATGTGCTTTTTGTTTGGTGAAAGAGCCGTTTCGTTGCTGCAATTTGAGTGGCGCAAAGCCAGCCATGTTCAACATCAAGATATCGGCGCTCAGGTTCGACATCAAGATACCAGCTTTTCTTCGGCATCTCAAGTTAGCAGTTTTGATTGGGGAGACAGCAGTCAGACATGCATGAAACTGAGGTTCTTAACAGATTTTTCTACACTTGTCTGCACACCTGCACATGCACTTTACTTCTTCTTCTCGGTTTTCTTCTTCTTCTTCTTCTTCTTCTTCTTCTTCTTCTTCTTCTTCGTCGTCGTCGTCGTCGTCGTCATCGTCGTCGTCTTTCTTCTTCTTCATCACCCAAGGGCACCTATTGACTCCAGATCAGAGTTGTTTGAATTTAGGGTTTATGTGGGCCCAGGTTTAGGTGGGCCCAGGTTTAGTGGGCCCAGGTTTAGGTGGGCCCAGGTACAGGTGGGCCCAGGTTTAGGTGGGCCCAGGTTGTAAGGTCTGAAAAAACACAGTTCTGGGATGGGCGAAGTTGGGAAATTTCTCGAAAAGTGGGTCTGGATCGGGTGTGGTTGGAAAACGTTTTAAAGAGTTGGTCTGAGTTGGGTCTGGTTGGAAAACGTTTTAAAGAAAGGTAAGGTTTCAGAGCTCCGGCGCCCTACTTCCCATGATGCGAGAGAAGGGGGGGGAGAAGATGATCATCATCATCATCAATCTGAGGATATAGTGATTGGATTTGTTTCTTGTCCAGCGCTTGTTGGGGCAACTATTGCAGTTGGCATTCTTTACTTCAATTGATTGAATTTCGTCCACATTGAATTTGTGTTTGACTTCATCGACTCTGCGGGATGAACTCACAAGAAACGCGAATTCAAGGTCAACGAATCGAAATAAGTAATGCCGATGTCAATGACGACTCGAAATAAATAATGCTATTTTTAGCTCACCCTGCAAGTGCCAATCAACAAGAAAGAAACACATACACAAATTGAACGAATGCCAACCAGTCAATTCCTCCTTGGAATGCCGAGTGAATGAATGATCCCCCTGCGAGTATTCATCAACCCCCCCCCCCAAAAAAAAAAAACAGCAATCCCGATGTGAATGCCAATGTGAATGCCCAAAAATTCCAATGCCAATGTGAATGCCCAAAAATCCAATACCAATGTGAATGCCCAAAAATTCCAATGCCAATGTGAATGCCCAACAATTCCAATGCCAATGTGGATGCCCACGTGAAT